TTAAAAAAATTTAAGAAAAATCCAGAAAAATGACCTAAAGGAGAAAAGAAAGAAGACTTCGCTTCCACGTTATTCACATTTCAGAAAACATATTAAGAAAAACTCCCTAAAATGGCCAAAAATACAAGAAATACCCACAAATGTCCAAAAATTTACCAAAAAATGATAAAAATCACCTATAAAATTTACATTTCGGTAACCAGCAGCTCATATACAAGATTTACATATTTAAGAGCATCGGATAGAATACAAACACAATCATACTTTACAAACATACCGCGGAGAAAAAGTCCTCAAATTTACAGATAAAGAAAGCCTTTGTTATGACGAACAATAGGATGATACATATCAAGTCGCTTTGAGTGACGTACCGTCACTAATAATGTGACTTTGACTTCGATAACCTGAGAACACAGCATGCACCTATCCCATCAACTCCTGCTGAAGGAAGCAGAGATAGTCTCAGAGATGTCAGACATTACTCCACGTTGACGTGGTTGATCAGCCAAGAAAAGTTCGCTGTAACACAGTAAGTCCCTCCCTTACTCGGTTAATTCGTTCCGAAGGTTTCCGTTTCAGTTGAAAATCTTACAAGTCCCACAGTGCTTAACTGCGACAAGCAAGGTATTTTAGATACATTGGTGAGTTCCAATTGATACTTAAAGCGCAAAACGTGTGTACAATAAAACTTATTATAACATATTACATTATAATATCGAACGTCTCTCTGATCTCGTGGTCAGAGTTCCTGCGTAAATATACAGAGGTCCCGGCTTCGATCCTAGGCGCTACCAGATTTTCTGTGAAGTAGTGGGTCTGCAATGGGGTCCGCTCAGTTTCGTGATGATAATTGAGGAGCTAGTTCAAAGAAAAAGCTGCTCCGGCCTAGAGAACCGAAATTAACGGCCGTGGAGATTCGTTGCGCTGACCACGTGACACTCTCTATCCGCAAAAGTTAGCGCTACTTCGCCGACAAGCGGCGGTCGCTCGGTCGGTATAGTTCGCTTGCTGAGCACAGTCCACGAAGTTCTTTATTACATCATATTTTCGAGTGTAACCTGATGACGCGACAGTAAATAAAGGGTTCCGGATTTGATAACTCGATTTACTGGATAATTTCACACCTCGTAAGTACTCGTACAATTCGTTATTGCACTTTCAAGTTTGTTGCATCTGTGTCACACAAACTATTATAACACTCTCAAGGTTAACACATAAAATGCTGACGTCTTCCTGTCGAAACCTCGAAATGAACTGCTCCTTATATGGGATCGGTACGAACCACGCACAGAAAGCATATTGTTGCATAAGGAATACCACACAGAAAACAAGTCACGTGATTCCTAGTCAGCGTCTTCATTGGAAACACTTGCGTATCCGCATATCTACGGATTTGTGTAAATTAAACAGTTCACTTTCTGTACAGTGACAACCATTGCTATACAAGAACAGCGTAGCGCTGGAAATATTTACGTTAGAAAGAATCCTTAGAATAAAAAAAACACCATGCCTTTAGTCCGCAAGCAAACTATACCGACCGAGCGACCGCGACCTGTCGGCGAAGTCAGTACCGACTTTAGTGGATAGAGGGTGTCGCGTGGTCACTGCAACGAATCACCACGGCCGTTAATTTTGGTTTTCTAGACCGGAGCCGCTACTTTCCCAATCAAGTATCTCTTCAATTATTCTCACGAGGCAGAGTGGGCCCCGTTCCAATGTCATTACTTCTCAGAAAGTCTGCTAGCGCCGGGAATCGAACCCGGACCTCTCGCTTTTATCTAGGAACTTTGAGCACAGCTCCACATAAGCCGTTCCGACTGTGTACAGTATTATAAAACTTAATATGTTGCCAGGGCCCAACGAAACCCTGTAGTCACTTATGAATGAATGAATATATAGTCGTATATTAATTCATATAGGGTATAGCACTCGCTTAGAAGAGGAAAACAAGTTCCCGTCAATATAGTGTCAAAAATCTATGCTTGCTTAAATGTAGGTGAGTCACGATCTAAAAGGGCAACTTAAACGTTCTCCAGAGATAATGTTTTCTATCAAAACCAGTGGGGCAAATATACGAATGAATGAATGAATGAATGAATGAATGTATAAGGGGTGGATCTTCTCGGCCTTTGCACCGGGACCTACAGTGGTCTATTGTGATTCCCCATTTGATTATCCCCTGAGCAATTAATTTTGTACGTGGGGGCGCCGAAATAGTCACTTGGTTCCATAAAGTATTTACCCAAGTAACGTAATGTTAAATAAGCTAAGGCCTCACATTCACACAGGATATGTGTGGCTGTTTCATATTCTTCTTAGCACCTCTCAAAAGTGGAAAACGTAATTACAGAAATTCTCAAAAGTGACACAGACGAGAAAAATATAATTGAAAATGACTCTTGATGTCGTTAAAAAGTGCAACATTATGTACTTTTAGCTTAATGTTCTTATTTAAAAAAAAATTAAGTAGTGCTTATGAGATCACTTTTTGTTTTCCGTGTCTGTTCCCCCTCCCACCACAATAATTCTTCGCCTGTTTATTTGTTTCCGCTGTAAAATGTTTGCCGAGCTATGGTAGAGTGACGGGCGATTCTCCTGATCCCATTATTCTTGCTTTCAGGAACTGAGTCACATTTCATTCAAAATTTGTTAGACCCGGAATTTTCTATGAGCTCAGAATTATATTAAGTATAACACTCGACTTGAATTGAAAGGAAGCAGGAAGTTACTTCATCCAAAAAATTAGTGTTGAGTAATGTTTAACAGACTAAATTAATTACATTTGAATTGATTTATGTTTTTGTACCATTTTTTACGGAATTAGGCAACGAATTCGATGAAAATTCCTTTCTTTTCCATATTACAAAAAAGAATTCCTACGAAACTTTCACCGTATTAGGGAACACGTTAGACGATGCAGGTAACTTTTTGTACTAAGAGGTATTATGGAGATATCAAAGTCACTTTGAATTTTATAAATTCCACTGAGGTGTAGAGAAGACGGATAGTAATTCAATGACATACTTTTTGCACAAGGTCATTCAAGGTAACAAACAAAAAATAACAAACCAGGGCCTTCTGTTCTTCGTTGTTCTCATTTCACGATTTGTTGTTACTTTGATTTAAATAATTTTACTTTTGATGTTCGAAGGTATAACCCTAAGCAACAATAATCCGTTTGAACTGTTTTACGAAAGTCTTGATATACTTAAGATTGCAAAAATGTGCCTGAACTCTTGCAATGAATATTCCATTCAGAATATTCCTGTTTTAATATGCGTTTCAGAACCTGCTGAAAACCTATAAAATTTGATCCTGCAGTCCGCCTGGCCTTATAGGAAAACTTGTGCAGGTTTCCATGAAACTGGATATTCGGAAATCATAATGATGCTTATTCATGAATTCAGAGATCGGGTACAATCGAGAAAATGTAACCTACGGTCTATAATAAGACCCGAATTTCTTTCTGTACGTAAATTGAATGTAACGCAGTTAAGTACTTTTTAGGGTCATCATGGCGGTAACACGCCACCCCGCAACGGGCACCGAGGGATTTGTTACCGCTGAAGTCGGCGTAGGGAATAGTGGGTAATGTCTGACACGAAGGAAGGCCAATGAATAAAATATGAAGAATTAATGGAAGAAATTAATGTAATAATCCTAATAACAATATTGTTTCTTGTATTATGACTAATTACGCGGGTTCGGGATTTGATGATTGCGTTTATTTATTCCTTATATGCATCACAATTAATTACACGTAATCACAGCGCTATCATGGGTACTACACTTTATAATTCAGTGTTAAACACTCACAGACACACACACACATACAAGTCCCCTCCTGGTACTACAACTAGAAAACAGGAACTATAACAGTCTCACTGAATCACGCACTCCAAGCATTATGCATGAACATATTTTTCTAATCACGCCACGTCTTCTCACGACGAACAGTCCTTAGCTATCTTCTACCGAGAACTCAGAACTCAGATCTATGTCACATAAAAATGAAAACTGTTGTATGTGTAACTGTTGTTATATAGCCTTCGCATCGACTACGCACGAAGAACAGAGTCCTATTGTTGCATAAGGAAATCCACATAGAAAACATGTCACCTGATATTTCTACCTCGCCAGTCCACTGACGCGCTGAGTGTTGCCTAGCAACGAGCTACAAATATTCGTCCTATGGTTAAGTGAGCTTACGTGAGGTGTTTTTCGCCCAATTGCTTAGTTATGCATGTTACATTAATAATAATAATAATAGAGGTACAGTCCAAGGAAATTACAGTAATTTCACAAACCGAAATCCAGGGCACAATCGATTGTGCTGCTCAGAAAAAACTATGTAGCTAATTAAATACAAAAGTATTTGGCCGAAAAACGCTGTTTGCTGCAACCCTGGAGAGACAGGGGGAGCAATGGAACGGACTCAGGAGGCCAGACAATGAAGGAGGACAAGGGAGTAGAAGATGGTGAAGCTACGGTATAGAAGGAATGGGACGCAGAAGGAAGTGGGGAGTCGTGGGGCATGAAACGATACACGAAGTTAAAGAGGTTGATGTTAAAATCTGTAACTGGTATAGTACCCATTTAATTGAGCAAAACAGGTCCTCGGCAACAAGTTTCCAGGAATCAGTGCCTTCTCAGATATGGGCTAGTGAGTGTCCAGTTAGGCTTCATAGATGACGGAATCTTAAGACCACTTGTCTTTCCTAGCAGACTATCAGGTGCAGTGCATCGTCTTTGTTTTCTGAGTGTTTTAACTGTTACTCTTGTAACGTGTGCCTCTTCACAACGATCAGATATATCTTTCATCCTTGATGGGGCACCACCTCATTTTTTCTACATTGTCAGATGCCAACACAACCAGACTTTTCTTGAAGAGTGGTAAAATGAGGAGGTCCTGACAATTAGCTTCCATGAGTGTATGACCTCATTTTTCTGTATTTCGGCTGTGGGATATTTGAAGTGTTTTGTGTACTCAGTGACGATCAGTGATTTCAAGGTATTACAGCAACGAGCACAGAAAACCTGTCAGGGGATTGGAGTGAAGCTAGGAACTTCGGGCAGAGTGCGCACTTCTGTGCGCCGAAGAGCTGAAAGTCGTTTTGAAATGCATGGGACCCACGTGCAGAACCGGCTGTAGGGATCAGAAGAACATCGCCCATATCTGAGTAGGCACTGGTTCGTGGACACATTAGACTGACAATATTCGCTCATTTTAGTGAGTACTAAATATTCTTAACCCATTTAACTATTTTTAACAATCTGCTTATATGGGTATATTACGCCCTTTAACCCTGTCTAAAATCTGCGTTTTGGGTAAAGGAAATATTATAGGTTTTATATGATTCTCAGAAGAAGCTACGATTAGTTCCCTAAACTTTACTGAAAGGAATGTTTCGTAATTGAGAAATATTTTGTAGCCGTAAAATAGGACCTAAATTTTTAATTCTCATTCGCTCAACAAAAATTAAGATTCCACAGTCCTTGTTCATAATATTTCATTTACGTAAATCAATGATTGAAGTATGTATGTATTTCATTACAGATAATATATATCCGCTCTGTTTTATTTACATTAGTGACCGGTGAGACAGGAATACCTGCTTCCAAGTGTATTGTGTTTTGATTCCCACGGGCCAGTCCATGTAACTGCGAAACGTGTTTACAGACTCCTGAAAGCCTTACTGGCAGACGGTGAAGCCTGCTTTAACTCCAGAAATATAGTATTTCCATCAAAACTGGAACTGCGTTAAATATAACTTGCAGATATTATCATAGGCGCGTCTCCGTAAAACCAATGCTGTTCGTAATGATGTTTAGACTTGAGTTAGATATACAATTTGATGTATTTTAGCCTACATTCTTCATTCTGGAAGAATTGAAGGAAGAATTTGAATTCGCCTTGTTGTTTTTGTGTCTGTGTCTCTGAAAAATTTCTTCTTTTTTTGCTGCTTGTATGTTGACGTCGTTACATGATTACTAAGCCGTGGCCTACTTAGTGCCGTCTCTTCTGACAACATGTCCCGTTGGATTCAAAATTTGTTAGACGAGGTGATTCATATGCGATGCGTGTCACATCAGATATATTATTCTATATGTAAGATAAGGAAAAGTTGTCCCTGAGGTTAACCAACTAAGAATTATGCTATGAAGGCGTGTGTGGTATGATGTATAGATCTATATTTTCTTGACCTCGGCATTAGTTTGAGTGGCCAGATTCAAGCCCCAGTAGCTTTACTTCCAGGGAGATATCCACAAGTAGCTATTGTATATGAGATTGAGTGGAACCCAGAGCTGTCCTAGACGACACGGAGAAGTAAATATTCTTGACACTACCAAGACACGAATACCGACCACTCCGTCGTCCAGCACGCAGCCGGTCGCGACAACTTTTATTTCGCCAGGTAATTGAAAATAACAAATAAAAGAGCAGAAGTGTGTTTTCACTAGTGAGAGTGACAACTGGCAGTGTTTGGATTTGTGATTTTATTTGTTCATCATAAGGAAACAGGACTCGTCACTACACTTAATTATAGCGCCATCGCTGATCTCCACACTTTAAAAATAAAAACAGCAAACGTTAAGTCTACTGTGTCTTCACCAGTCGTTCCATGGCAAAGGCTTCCAGTAATGGAGAGCCTTCGGTTTCCGGGCTGGCTTCGTCACTGTCCAGGAAATATCCCACTTCTATGACCTGTAAATGTCGGCGTCAGAATCTTAATACGACTGGCTGTTTACTGCCAATCATTTCGTCTTGACGTCAAAAAAAAATTGAGACTCACGAACCGACCTTTCTTTTAACCGAGCCCTTTCTACAATAACCTTTACGTAATATCCTCTCTGACGAGAAAATAGATTATCTCTTATGAATACCCGTATGCTTGGCCTTTCGTCAAAAGCACGTGTCGCTTCTTATTGAATTCTTCCTTTTGCGCTATATGTGAGTCCTCTATAAGTACAGGCTTTGCAAAGAAAATCAACCCCATCTTACGTATCTTACTCTATAACAGCAGCTTAGACGATTGAACAGTCGTAAGCTTCACCAGCGACAAGTTTAAGCTTCTTATATATTCTATACCTGGCTACGCCATATCCTGTACCCCGAACATGTTCATTCTCAAGATTTTGTATGACTTCTGCTTGTCGCCTGCACAGTTTTCTTACAATCGTATACAAGGGAGAGCTGAAAGTCATATGCAATTATCGGACCGGTGTCCGCCTTGGAAGACTTTGAACGGGGCAGAGAAATTCGTTTTGTAAGCGCTACAACTTCAGTACTTGGGTGTCTGCCATTAATTTGCAACCGTGGCAAGCATAAGCCATAAGTGATCTGTTAAGTGCCTAACGGAGGGTTAGTTTCATTTTGGCGCTTAAACGCTCACTTCTGAATAGGGAGTAGTCTCTAATAAATGTTCTGAAGGTCTTGGTTTGAACCATTTCTATGTGCAGTCTCTGTGTAATCCTCATATCGAAGATTACATCCAATTTAAATGATTGATGAAGGTAATATTTAGTACATTCAATGTAAGAAGAGATTCATGGAACATCAGTCTATCTGATTTCTAGCTCCAGTTATCCTACTTATAATATTTCTGAAAGGATCGCAAAGAAAACACCATTTACAACAGCACCTCTATTGATGCGTTAACGTGGGAACCAGTTTGTTTGAGAAGGCCTTAATCAATAACGAGTCTACATGCAGCACTGTATTATAATACTTGCTCGAAGTGGTAGCCATCAACAGCAATAGAGTTTTGTTGTGATAACTGAATGATTCGGGTGTATTTAAGGAGAAATAATTTGCTGCCCATCCCGTATAATTTCGTAATTAGGTTCCGAACAATAAAATATATTCTGCAGCTAATTCAAATCCGTGGTTTCTAAAGGGTACGTACGACAGCAGTTCGGAAATTAATATCCGATGAGATGTTAATAAAATAAGCAACATGAAAATGTATTATATAACAAAAATAGATTAATATTTCTCAAAATATTTACAGATGGAATTGAGGAAATTATGGTATCTGTGAATAAATTTCTGTATGCCTGTGTCAAATGAGTGTGCCGCCCGTGAATTCGGGCACATTTTTAGTCTTATATCAACTCATTTTTATGGAGGGGCTGTGATTGTAACCAGCTCTTCATACCGGTAAACATGTGATAGTTAAGCAGAGAAGAAAACTTCGATTCTTGATTGATATGTAAGAAATCATTCTCTCGTGGGAATAATTTGTTGGGACATGCAAGTGGAAGTAGCAGAGAAACAATGCCTTCTTTTAAAATGTGTGTCACATTGTTAACTCCTGAGCATAATGCAGTACCAGGATCAAGTGTTCTCAGAGAGTCTTTTTCTTGCACAGACTGAAAGAAGTTAACAAGTCACTCTAATTTGTATAACCATACCAAAGTGCATGCTGCAGATCGGCAAATTTCTTGCGAAGTGTGTAAGAAATCGTTCGCCCAGGCCTCTAACCTAAAAAATCATTTCAGGGTTCACAATGGAGAACGGCCTTTTTCGTGCAAAGTGTGTAAGAAGTCGTTAGCACAGAGCTCTAACCTAAACAGGCATCTCAGAACACACAGAGGGGTGCGACCGTTCTCGTGCGATGTGTGTAAGAAATGGTTCATTCAGCTTTATTACCTAAATATACATCTCAGAATACACAGTGGAGAAAGACCCTTTTATTACGAAGTGTGTGAAAAAACATTCACTTATAGCTCTATCCTAAAGAATCATCTGATGATGCACAATGGACAAAGGCCTTTTTCGTGCAAAGTGTGTAAGAAAACTTTCACACTGGGATCTACCTTATACAGGCATCTCGGGGCACACACTGGAGAGCGACCGTTCTCGTGCGATATGTGTAAGAAACGGTTCACTCAGTTCGAGAACCTAAATATATATCTCAGAATAGACAGTGGAGAAAGACCCTTTTCTTGCCAAGTGTATAAGAAAACTCTCGCTAAAAGAGATATCCTGAAGAAACATCTGAGAGTGCACAGTGGAGAACGGCATTTCTCGTGTAAATTGTGCACGAAATGGTTCACTCGCCGCCTCGTTCTGAATATGCATCTCAAATCACACAGTGCAGAACAAGCATGATCGTGCGATATGGAAGGGAATGATCACTTGTGGCAGGAAAACTAACAACCATCGCATGGAATAACATTAGGGATAACCTTTACGTTTAATGTGTGCAACAAAACATCCATTCATCGCGACAGTGCGAGACTATAGAGACATTCTTTATTTTGCATTTCTATGAAAATGTCTATTGCATCAACCGAATTATTGTGTTTAAAATAACATATTTTGCTTCAAGAATTTACCTGGTTACAGAAGCTGAACGTTTTACAGTGTGATATATTTAGGGGCCAGATTTTCACCATTGTACCTTCATAATTTCCTTGATTAAGACTAGTGTTACTAACATACGCTCATCCTTTCGTATTATTATAAGTTGTATTAACATCTTTGAAGGTTTGTTTTATTGTATTACAGGAATATTCACACATCAATCTTGTCTGTTCATTGTATGAAGATGTTTTCAGGATTTGGTTTCACATTTTTAATGTTTTCTGTTGACTTCATTGATTTTTTACAATTAACAAAACACGGCCTTCTATTTTCCCTTCTTCTCATTTCACGATTTGTTGTTACTTTTATTTAAATAATTGTCCTTTTGATGATCGAAGTGATAATCCTCAGCATCAATAATCCGTTTGAACTGTTTTACGAAAGTCTTCGATATATTTAAGATTGCAAAACAGGTCCCTGAATTCTCACAATGAATATTACATTCAGAATATTCCTGTTTTATGTGTGATTCAAAACCTTCTGAAAGCCTATTAAATTTGATCCAGCAGTCCGTCTGTCCTTATAGGAGAACTCGAGAGACCGTGTACAGGTTTCAATGAAACTGGACATTTGGAAATCATAATGATGCTTATTCACGAATTCAGAGCTCGGGTACAATCGAGAAAACGTGACCTACAGTTTACACGAAGATCCGCATTCCTTTCTGTAGGTAAATTGAATGTAACCCGGTTAAGTATTTTTCAGGGCCATTCTGGCGATGACACGCCAACCCGCAACGGGGCACAGAGGCATCAGTTACCGCTGAAGTCGTCGTAGTGCAACGCGGGCAATATCTGTCACGAAACCAAGGCAAATGAATAAAATACGACAAGTGAATTGACGAATTTATTTAATAATCCTAATAACAATATTGTCACGTGTATTAGTGACTAATTACGTAGGTTCGGGGTTAGATTTATGGGTTTATTTACTCCTTAATTACACGCAATCACAGAGCTATCATGATTTCTACACTTTATAATTCAGTGTTATACACACACACACACACACAAGTCCCCTCCTGGTACTACAACTAGAATAGAGGAACTACTACATTCTCACTGAATCACGCACTCCTAATATTACACGTGAATAGATTATTCTAAAAACGCCAGGTCTTCACACGACGAACAATCCTTAGCTATCTTCCACCGAGAACTCAGAAGTCAGAACTCTGAACTATGTCACACAAAAATGAAAAATTTGTATTTGTAACGGTTGTCATATAGCCTCCGAATCGACCAAGCACGAAGAACACAGTCCTATTGTGCATAAGGAAATCCACATACAAACTTGTCACGTGATTTCTACCTCGCCAGGCCATTGGCGCGCTGGGTGTTGCCTATCAAAGGGCTAGAAATATTCGTCCTATGGTTAAGTGCGCTTATGCAAGATGTTTATTACCCCATTGCTTAGTTATGCATGTTACAATATGCACCGTCTCCTTCCTGTTATCTAGCACTTATTACGTCCAAGACAGCAGCGGCACAACGTCAGGGGCTCTCATGTTATGTTCACAATGCTCCCTAGGTATAGTAGGGACTCCAAGCCATAGCAGGGAGACGCATCCAATCGACAAGACTAGTTCACAATAATAAATTAATTTAATAAGAGAAACACAATAAAACAGAATACAACAATTAGAAGTTAATAGAAGCCGTGGGCCCCAAAACATACAACCTGTGACCACAGCTGTCAGTCACTTTTCTCTTGACTTAACTGCGACATCAGACTACACTTAATAGCCCACGCTCACTGCTTATTACTTTTGTTTACCATATGCTACTTCAGCAGGCACAAAATAAACGTTAACAAATATTCCTTGCCCACAGGCGATTCCTAGGAAAGAAAACACAATGACGTAACGTTAAATTAAAGCCCATCGCTCTGCCACACAATAACTTATAATGCAAGCAAAACCCCCGACGTGCGTTGCCAGCACAACCGCCCAGACATAATTTAGAATGCCTTCCGAAACCGAATTTGAAAAAATCTCAGGTTGGCCGCGTACGTCCGATACGCTGTGGATCCAAGCAGCGAATGAATTTAGATTCACTAACCGGCTTCTTCCGAGCCATTTGGGGAGGGGACGCGGAGAGGAAGCGGAATCCCACGTGATACGCACCAGCACGGGATGAAGGGGTAGGGATTAACATGGCTGGAAGGCATGACATCATCCAAGAGCCATAACATGGCTCAAATAATAACAATAATAATACAGGTACAGTCCAAGGGAAATTACAGTAATTTTACAAACCGAAATCCAGGGCAGAGTGGATTGTGCTGCTCAGAAATAAAACTGTATATTTAATTAAGTACAAAATATTTGGCCGAAAAACACTGTTTGCTGCAATGCTGGAGAGACAGAGAGAGCAATGGAACGGACTCTGGAGGCCATGACAATGAAGGAGGACAAGGGAGTAGAGGAGGGTGAAGCTATGGTATAGAAGGAATGGGACGCAGCAGGACGTAGGAAGTGGTGGGGAATGGAACGATACACGAGGTTACAGAGAATGTGTTAAAATCCGTAAGGCGTATAGTACCCAATTAAATGAATAAAACAGGGCCCCGTCAACATGTTTCCAGGAATCAATGATTGCTCAGATATCGGTACCAGGTTCTAAGTGGGCGCCTTAGATGATGGAATCATAAGACCATTTGTCGATCCTAGCAGACTATCAGGTGCAGTGCACCGTGAGTGGATTACCGGTTACTCCTTTAACATGTGCCTCTTCACAACGATCAGATATGTCATTCATTCTTGATAGGGCACCACCTCATTTTTTCTATATTGTCACACACTAACACAGCCAGAATTTCCTTGAAGAGTGGTAACACGCGAAGGTCTTGACAATTGGCTTTCAGGATTCTATGATCTCAGTTTACAGTATTTTGGTTGTGGGACTCAGGAAGTGTTCTGTGTACTAAGTGTCGATCAGTGACTTCAAGGTATCACAGCAACGAGCACAGAATACCTGTCAGGGGATTGGAGTGAAGCTAGGAACTTTGGGCAGAGTGCGCAATTCTGTGCGCAGAAGAGCTGAAAGTCTTTTGATATGCATGGGATCTACGTGCAGAACCGGCTGTAGGGATCAGATGAACATCGCCCATATCTGAGTAGGCTCTGGTTTGTGGACACATTAGACTGGGAATGTACGTTCATTTTAGAGAGTATTTTACATTCTTAATATATTTAACTATTTTAACCATCTGTATATACGAGTATATTACGACCATTTTCACGGTAGAAATCTGTGTTTCGGGTAAAGAAAGTATTATGGGCATTGCATGATTCCAAGGAAAATCTACAATTATTTCCGTAAGCATTAGTGAACGGACTGTTTCCTAATTGAGAAATATTTTGTAGCCGTGAAATTGGACCTAAATTTTTAATTTTCATTCGCTAAAAAGAAAATTAATATTCCTGAGTCCTTGTTCACAATATTTCATTTAGGTGAATCAATGACTGAAGTGAACAATCAATCCTCATATTGAAAGAAATTAACATCCCATATGTATCTATTTCCCTACAGATGATATATCCCCGCTCTATTTTATTTACATTAGTGCTCGGTGAGACAGGAATGTCTGCTTCAATATTTATTGTGTTTTGATATGCACGCACCAGTCCATGTAACTGTGTGCCGTGTTTGCAGATTCCTGCAAGCTTTACTGGCAGACGGTGAAGCCTGCTTTATCTCTAGAAGTATTGTATTTCCATTAAAACTTGTACTGCGTTAAATGTAACTTGCAGATATAATCACAGGCGGTTGTTCGTACAAGAAATGCTGTTCATAATGATGTTAAGACCTTATTGAAATATAAAATTTGATGTATTTTATTATACACTATTAATTTTGGAAACATTGAAGGAGTAATTTGAATTCCCCTTATTGTTTTTGTGTCTGTGTCTGTCAAAATAACTTTTTTCTGCTTGCCTGTTGCCGTCTTTACGTGTTTACTAAGCCGTAGCCTACTTAGTGCCGTTGGATTCAAAATTTGTTAGACGAGGTGGTTCATATGCTGTGCGTATTACGTCAGATATATTATTCTATATCTAAGATAAGGTAAAGTTGTCCCTGAGCTTAACCAACTAAGAATTAGGCCATGAAGGCGTATGGGGGTGTGGATGTATAGATATATATTTTCTTGATCACGGAATTTGTTGCAGTGGCCAGATTCAAGTCCCGGCCGCTTTACTCCAGGGGAGAGAGCTCCAAGTACGCATTGTATAGGAGGTTGGGTGGACCACAGAGCCGTTCTAGACGACACAGAGAAGTAAAAGTTCTTGACACTAACGAGACACGAACACCGAATTCTCCGTCGTCCAGCCCGTAGCCAGTCGCGACACCCCTTATTCCGCCAGGTAATTCAAAATAACAAATAAAAAGAGCAGAACTGTCTTTTCACTAGTGGCAATGAGAACTGGCAGTGTTTGGATTGATGAATTGATTTGTTAATCATATGAAAACAGGACTCGTCACTACACTTAATTATAGCGCCATCGCTGACCTCCACACTTTAAAAATAACAACAGCACACGTTAAGATTTTTCAGTTCAATATGTCTTCACCAGTTGTTCCATGGCAAAGGCTTCCACTAATGGAGAGCCTTCGGTTTCCGTGCTGACTTCGTTACTGTCCAGGAAATATCCCAAAGCTCTGACTTTTAAAGTCGACGTCAAAAATCTCATTACGGCTTTCTGTTTACTGCCAATTATTTCGTCTTGGCGTCAAAATAATTGAGACACAGGATCAGACTGTTTTCTTTTTCAACCGAGCCCTTGCAACAACAGTCTTTATGTAACATCCTCTCTAACGAGAAGATAGATTATCTCTTATGAATACGCGTATGCCTGGCCTTTCGTCAAATGCACGTGTCGCATGTTATTGAATTCTTCCTTTTGCACCAAATGTGAGTCTTCTGTATTTTTTATTTCTAGTGGGGCGGGACTAAGTCCCTTGTATTGCTGCCATATCTGGCCTATTTTACCAACCCCAGATGATAGCTGTGGGTGGTTGTGGAGCAACTGGTAAAATGGAGATTGGCAGGGGAAACCGAAGCACTCGGAGAAAACCTGCTCCAGTGCCACTTTGTCCACAAAAACACATCTTCGCCAGACCCGGGATCGAACCCGGGCGGCGACGGTGGGAAGTCAGCGACAAACCGCTTGAGCTATGGGGCGGAATTGAAAAACCGCTTATTTATACTAACTGCGATTCATTGCAACGCAATAGAACCTGTTGAAAAATGTATACATATTGTAAGTACGAATTGCAAGCGCATAATCTGTAATTAATTTAAATCAACGGGAATTGTCAATAACAGGGATGTAAACTTTCCGGTTCATGTATTGGAATATCATATCAAATTTTACTGCTTCATTTTCTGACATCGGAGTGATGTATTTCATTAACGCTCTGGTGTGTCAGCTTCTAAACTTTGTGTGTGTTCGCCACAGAACAACAGAAGGAGAAGATTAACAAGAGAAGAATGGCAAGTGAAGAAGTACGCCTTGAGAGATTGCGAAGGACGTTGCATTCCTTAGCAACTCGAGTCCCAAAAGTAATTCTGACACGAGTTGACTGGACATTTCCTGCTTTGAAGAATCAGGCTGTAAGTGTTGTGTGTTCAATTATAAATTTATAATAGAAACATTTTTTGTTGTCATGTTCTCCAATTGTCTTCATCTAAACTTTATGTGCCGGGTAACTACATCATGTGCACTTATCTTCATTGCAGTTCACTCCGTGTGATGGATCTCTAGAACAGTCCCTTCCACGTAGCCTTACTGACCTTCACGTTACAAGCGAAATTTCAGAACATTTAGGCACAATAGACATTCGCTTCACTTTAAGACACTTCCCAAAATTTGTTCCCCTAATATCCAGTCTCCTTTTACTCTCGCAGTTTTCTCTTGGTGTTATACGAGGCTACGTTCCTAATGGTTTCAGCACAATTATACGGTATGCATATGTTTCCCCCAGTTCCAAATTACACGGCCCGACTTTTTCTTAAAGTAGCAACGCTTTTACATGCAACTAAATTGAAGAAAGAGGCGCAGTTATATTATTAATTAATATCAATTAATAAAATCCAGACTAATAATCACAGGGTAAGAATTTTTAAGTATCAAGGCTATCCCAGATTTTTGCAAATCTACAGGAATAAGAGACTATGCCTTTTGCTTTAATGCAGTCTATATGCAACTTCGGTTACTATTCACCCGTCTTTTTTTCTTGACACTACGTTTTAAATAATTGGGTAGCTTGTTAACAGATGATGGAAGGTGTACGTGTGAAATTAAATCCTGCATTGCTATGGAAAAAGCTGCATTTAGCAAGAAGAAGAATTTTTAGCAGCAAATTGGACTTAAATTTGAGAAAGAATCTAGTGAAATCCTACGTTTGGAGCATCGCTTGCTACGGGGCTAAAACTTGAACACTTAGGGCAGTAGATCAGAAACACCTGGAAAGCTTCGAAATGTGGTGTTGAAGAAGGATTGAGAAGATCAGTTGGACCGATTATGTGAGAAATGAAGAAGTGTTAATTAGAGTCAGTGAGCAGAGGAATATCCTACACGAAATAAGAAAACGGAAGGATAATTGGATTGGTCATATCTGACGGGGTAACTGCTTTCTAAAAGAAGTTATTGAAGGAAAGATAGAGGGGCGGATAGAAGTGACAAGAAGACGAGGAAGAAGACGTAAGAATATACTGGATAACCTTGGGGAGAGAAGAGGATATTTTCATTTGAATGAGAAAGATCTAGATGGCGTCAAGTGGAGGAGCTGTTTTGGAAGAGGCTGTGGACCTGTCGTTTTGACAGATTACAGATGAATGAATGAATCCTATCGGTCTAACCGACCATCTTCGCAAGTAAATGTTATTATCATTATGGAATCTGCTGTTCACTGTAATGCTTTTTTGTTTCTCTCATGTGTTTCCCTCGGATTACTTCCAGTTATGTGGTTTAGCCATCTGCTTTAACTTTCGTTTCATTGACCTCAACGTCTTTGCCTTATCTGTAATATATTAAGTTATATATTGCAGTATTATATTGATTTACACCGACACACATAACTCAATATTCAAAGTAATTTATTTTCCTTTGGCACTACAGCTCCAGTGGGCCTAGGCCTACCTCCATGAACTCCGTTCGCTTCTGTTTTTTTAGATCTTACACATACGGTAGGAGTCCTTGGGCGAGTGATCAGCTCGTCGCAAGGCCTCTACCTGTAGACAAACACAGAAAAACGCACACCAACATCCATGCCCTGAGTGGGATTCGAACCCACGATCCCGGCTTCCGTACCCGGCATTCAAAGCATTACAGGAAACAGACACCAGAGAGCAGCACACAACACACATTACATCTTATGATAGCAACACAATCGACGTTACGAAAACACCTGTAAACACGGACAATGTTGGTGGACGACAAGAAGCAAGAACAGACAAGGCAGCCCCAGCCAACAAACCTAACAAAGCCGTAAGTAACACCATACATACAGTAACTAACTATACATATACACCTCAAAAGAAAGCTCTAACTTAAAACATCATATATTACAAATGAGGCAAAAGACGAAGAACTGAAGGACACTAAAATGAGAACAGATGATTAACCCACGTAATTATAAGTAAACTGAGGCAACTGCATAAGAGAAATTGAACATAAGATTCCTTAATTTTAGCAACTTGTACACCTGGGGATGGCCGGAACATGCAGCGGGAATAAAGAAAGAAGGAGTTGAATAATAACCGAAGTTACACATAGAGGGCATAAAGCAAAAGGCAAAATAAGACCTGTGCAGTACAACAGGATCATACGATTTAACTTTATGTACAGGAATATCATTTCCACGCGGTTTAACCTGCTCAAAACCAGTAAGAATTTCATGAAATATATCTGTAAAATTATTACACATACCACGCAAGGGTGGTTCTTCTCTCGCAAATAATTCCAGTCGGTTGTAGAACCAGTTTAACTCACTTCGTTAACTAAAGCGTAGCATGGCGTGTGCGCCTTGCAACATTACCACTTAACCTGAGAGACACATGCAAATATTTACTTAGAGAAATTTATGTTTCGATTAGTAACATTTGAGAACCAAGTTGGGACACAATATTGTATCATCATGGTTTACGCTTGTGTAACAGTATTTGTAAATGTGTCAGGTGTATTAGCGCAAAAGTTTCCGATCTCAACTCCGCTGCAGGATCTGATAGCATTTCTGTTTCTTTCAGAGTGTTCAATTAAATACAGCAAATATTGAAGCAACACACGTCATTAAGGACGTTAATGCCAAAGAAATTCTTCGTGAACAGGGAGCAGAATTGTTAAACAGAGAAGAAAACTTCGATTCTTGCGAGATAGTATGAAGTCATTGTCTCGTTGGAATAATTTGTTCTGACATGCAAGTGGAAGTAACAGAGAAACAATGTCTCGTTGTGAAGTGAGTGTCACATCGTTATCTCCGAAGCATAGTGCAGTACAAGGATCAAGTGGTCGCAGTGAGTCTTTTTCCTGCGAAGATAGCAAGAAAGTCACTAGTCACACTAATTTGTACAATCATACCAGAGTGCACAATGCAGGACGGCCGTTCTCGTGCGAAGTATGTAAGAAAATGTTCGCACAGCGTTCTTACCTAAACAAATATTTCAGAGTTCACAGTGGAGAAGGCCTTTTTCGTTCAAAGTGCGTAAGAAAACGTTCGCCAAGCGCTCTAACCTAAACACACATCTGAGAATTCACAATGGAGAACGGCCATTTTCTTGCGAAGTGTGTAGGAAATCGTTCGCCAAGCTCTGTAACCTATACACGCATCGTATAATGCCTAATGGAGAACGGCTATTTTCTTGCGAAGTGTGTAAGAAATCGTTCGCACAGCGCTCAAACCTAAACATTCATCTCTGTGTCCACAATGGAGAGCGAACTTTTACGTGCAAAGTGTATAAGATATCGTTCGACCACCGCTCTAACCTAAACACATCTCAGAATTCACAATATAGAACGACCATTTTCATGCAAACTGTGTGAGAAAATTTTCTCACAACTCTCTGACCTAAACAGGCATCTCAGGGCACACAATGGAGAGCGATGATTCTCGTGCAATGTGTGTAAGAAACGGTTCCGTCAGCTGCATCACCTAAAAATACATCTCAGAATACGCAGTGGAGAAAGACCCATTTCTTGCGAAGGTTATAAGAAAATTTTCGCTAACAGATAAAACCTGAAGAACCATCTGAGAGTACACAGTGGAGAACGGTATATTTCGTGTAAATTGTGCAAGAAAAGGTTCACTCATCGCTTCGTTCTGAATATACATCTCAAATCACACAGTGCAGAACAAGCATGATCGTGAGATATGGAAAGGAATGTTCACTTGTGGAGGAAAAAAGAGAGGCGTCACATGGAATATCATGGAAGATAACGCTTTCGTGTAATGTGTGCAAGGAAGCATCAATTCAAAGTGACAGTGCGAGTGTACAGATATATTCTGAATTTTGCATTTCTATGAAAATATATTATTATTCTGTTAAAATTGTCGTATTTTACTTCAAGAATTTATCTGGTTACAGAACCTGAACGTTTTACTATGTGATATGTTTCAGTGATAGTTGTTTCACATTTTTAAATCCTCACTCTTTCCTTGACTAACGTTCGTTTTAATAACATAATCTATCCTTTCGTATTTCTATAGATTTTATTCATACTTTTTTAAGTTTTAGTCGATTGTATTACAGGAATATTCCCAAATCAATCTTCTCTCTCTACTGTTACAAAGATATGTCAAAAATTTCATTTCCCATTTTTAATGATTTCTCATCAATTCATTGAATTTTCACAATTACCATAACTTCTTTTCTTGCGTGAATTCATTATTGTTTATTTGGAAGAAAGATTGGTCGGAGAGGGTTATATTTTAATTTTGGGATAATATAGTTACCTTCGGATTCAGTTTTCTTAAGTGATTTCCCTGGTTCGTCTATTGCAAGTGGTATATACTGTACTTAATGAAGGAGGGACAGGGGTTTGGCTGATCAATAAAGCCAACGTTGAGTAAACTAGAATCTAAAACCAGACAATTTCATAAAATTATAATCCACTGAACATCTACTGATGTAATTGCTTTTTTACTTAATTGCTATAAACATAAACAAACAGGCTATGGAGTAAGGAATTTTGCTACGCATGGAATGGAACAGAAATTTTACAAATGTCCTGGAATGTCATTCGGAAGAGCTGTATGTGCTTTAATCAACAATGGTTTCAAAGAATTCCTATACATACCTGCATAAAGTTGATTCATTACTCGCAATATCCTCCAGTAGTTGGCTGGTATAATTTAAATGACTTGATTAACGGGCAGAAATATATTAGTACATATTTAGAGATGTCATATGTAGATTATTGTGTTTTGTGGTTCAAGAAGGAATTCATGGTCATCTTGCTTCTTTCTCGTGAAAAAATATTTATCAAGATGACAGCTGAAATACTTCCAAAACGCTTCAGTGTCCAGCTCCATTGTAGGACCTGATACCGTTTCTCTTTCTTTCAGAGTGTTAAATTAAGTGCATCATCGCACTTCAATCAGGATGTTAATGCAGAGGAACTTCGTTGTGAACAGAGTGCAGGATTGCCAGAGTTATACGGAGGAGAGGACCTTCATACGTGCGAGATATGCAAGAAATCATTCTCTCTTAAATATAATCTATCCTTACATGCAAGTGGAAGGAGCAGAGAAAAAATATCTCGTTGTGAAATGTGTGTCACGTTGTTAACCCCTAAGCGTAGTGAAGTAAAACGATCCAGTGGTCGTGTACAGCCTTTTACATGCACNGAAGCAGCAGAGAAACAATGTCGCGTTGTGAAATGTGTGCCACATCGTTAACTCCTAAGCGTAGTGAAGTATAACGATCCAGTGGTCGTGTACAGCCTTTTGCATGCAATGTATGCAAGAGAAGTTTCACTGGTCGCACTACTCTAGAGAATCATATCAGGGTACACACTGGAGAACGGCCATTTTCTTGCGAGGAGTGTAAGAAGCGATTCACACAGCTCCATAACCTATACAGGCATCGAAGAGTACACAGTGGAGAACGACCATTTTCTTGCGAAGTGTGTAAGAAGGCTTTCAATGACAAGTTTATCCTGAAGAATCATCTCAGAATGCACAGCGGAGAACGGCCTTTTTCTTGCAAAATATGTAAGAAAACTTTCGCTCACCTCACGAACCTAAACACCCATTTAAGAATACACAGCGGAGAACGGCCTTTTTCATGCAAGGTGTGTAAGAAAAGGTTCACTCAGCGCTCTAACCTAAACACGCATCTCAGAGTACACAGTGGATAATTACCGTTTCCCTGCAAAGCATGCAAGAAAGAGTTCACTCATCGCTTCATTCTGAATATGCATCTCAAATCACACAGTGCAGAACAAGCATGATCGTGAGTTATGGAGGGACTGTCTACTCTCTGCTGAAAATTAAATAGGTGTCACGCGGAATATCATGAGAGAGAAAGCATCCATTCAAAACGAAAATACGATTCTACAGATATATATTAATTTTGAATTTCTATGAAAATATATTTATTGTCTCAACTGAATTATGGCGTCTACAATAATCTGTTTTGCTTCAAGAATTCCTCTGGTTAGAGAATGTAAATGTTTTACCGTCTGATATGTTTCGGGGCCAGTTCTGTTACATTTATATCCTCATACATACTCTCATTCTTTTCGTATTATTTCCTGTAAGTTCTCTTAAACTCTTTGATGTTTCCTTTCTTTCTATTACAGGAATATCACAAATCAGTCTTCTTTGTTTATTGTTATGAGGATGTGTTCATGATTTAATTTCAAATTTTTAATATTTTCTGTTCTCTCTTTGAACTTTTACAATTAAATTAGCTACTTTAAGTGCATGAACTAACTATTGTTTATTTGAAGCCTAATTGGTAGTTTGGGTTTATATAATTTAATTTTGGAACAGCATATATTATGCCGTGGTGACAGGAGGGCGTGGAGTTATCCCACCTCTGCCACCACTGTTACGCCCCTGCGACAGGGGTGGATTGGTTGTCTCACCCCTGTCACCACGGCGTAAGAGTGGTGGCAGCGGTGTGATACCTCCACTCCCCCCTGCCACCACGGCATAACAGTGGTGGCAGCGGTGGGATAACCAATCCACACTCGTCGCAGGGGCATAACAATGGTGGCAGCGGTGGGATAACCAATCCACCCCTGTCGCAGGGTCGTAATAGTGGTGGCAGCGGTGGGATACCTCCACGCCCCCTGCCACTACGGCATAACAGTATAGTTACCTTCGGATTCGGTTGCTTATGTGATTTCCATGGTTCGTGCTGAAAAGTTTTTCTCTGTTTATGTGTTTTATTGAACTGGTGTTCAACTGTTGTAACTGGGTTTATTATTCCAGTGGAAAGAATTGTATCTTCCTTGTTTCCAATCATAATCTATTTTACATCCTAACTGATATTATTTTATAAGGATGAATATTATAACGGACTGGTCATTTTGTTGCCAGACAACAGACCTATAAACAGGGTCCGACACGCAAGAATTGAAGAAACTATCCTTTCTGTAGATCCTACACACAGATGGACGTTTAAGCTATTGAAGATAATTTTGGAATAACTGTAAATATTGTTAAGCAAAAATAGTTTAATAATTAATTGTTGCTACGACCTGTAGGTTCTTAATAAATTCAATTACTAATCCAAATCCCGCATTTAGTCACTGTGGCATGTAACAACATCACATCGCCCACTCCTGATGTCTCTTTGTCCCGAAGAGCCCAACGATGTATAACATATCTTCCTTTCCGCCGGCCGCATTCGACATCATGCATCAAGAGAGTTCGGGAATATTCTCGAAGGGGAAGATTCCAGAACATTGCGTCATTCCTTAGTATTTAAATGGAAGGAAAGACAAGTTAGGGACACAGAAACAAGTAGGGACTACGAGACATGTAGAAGTAATGGAGAATTAACGCTCATCAATTAGGCAAGGCAAATGAATAAAATACGAAGAATGAATGAACAAATTCATGTAATAATCCTAATAATAATAATATCACGTGTATCAGTGACAAATTAAGGGGGATCAGGATTTGATGAATGGGTTTATTTACTTCTTATCTGGAGCACAATTAATTACACGTAATCACAGCGCTATCATGGTTTCTACATCTTATAATCCAGTGATATACATAAACACAAAATAATCCCCTCCTGGTACTACAACTAGAACACAGGAACTATAACAGTCTCACTGAACCACGCACACAAAATATTACACATAAATAAATTCTTCTAATCACACCAGGTCTTCACACTACGAACAATCCTTAGCTATCTTCCACCGAGAACTCAGAAGTCAGAACTCTGAAGTATGTCACTTAAAATTGAAAACTGTTGTTATGTAGCCTCCGTATCGACCACACAACAAGAACAGAATCCTATTGTTGCATAAGGAAATCCACATAGAAATAATGTCACGTGTGATTTCTACCTCGCCATTCCATAGGCGCGCTGAGTGTTGCCTAGCAACGAGCTATAAATATTCGTCATATGGCTAAGTGCGCATATGTGAGATGTTTATCGCCCCATTGCTTGCTTATGCATGTTAAATTAATAACAATAATATTACAGGTAAAGTCCAAGGGAAATTACAGTAAATTTACAAACCGAAATCAGGGCACAGGTGATTGTTCTGCTCAGAAACCAACTGAGTTGTAAATTACATACAAAAGTATTTGGCCGAAAACGCTGTTTGCTGCAACGCTGGGGAGACAGAGAGAGAGAGAGCATTGGAACGGACTCAGGAGACCATGACAATGAAGGTGGACAAGGGAGTAGATGATTATGAAGCTATGTTATAGAAGGAATGGGACGCAGCAGGAAGTAGGGAGTAGTGGCGCATTGAACGATACACGAAGTTACAGAGGATGATGTTAAAATCCGTAAGGTGTATAGTACCCAAATAAATGAATAAAACACGGCCCTGTCAATATGTTTCCAGGAATCAATGTTTGCTCAGATATGGGAGCCAGGGCTAGGAGGGCGCCTTAGATGTTGGAATTTTAAGACCACTTGTCTTTCCTAGCAGACTAGCGGGTGCAGTGCACCGTCTTTGTTTCTGAGTGATTTACCGGTTATTCTTGTGACATGTTCCAGTTCACAACGATCAGATGTGTCCAACATGTTGATAGGGCATCACCTCATTTATCTACATTGTCAGACACCAAAACAGTCAGACTTTCCATGAAGAGTGGTAACATGCGAAGGCCCTGACAATTGTCTTTCATGATTCTATGATCTCAGTTTCCTGTATTTTGGTTGGTGACACAGGAAGTGTTCTGTGTACTCAGAGTCGATCACTGATTTCAAGGTATCACAGCAAAGAGCACAGAATTCCTGTCTGGGGATTGGAGTGAAGCTGGGATCATCGGAAAAATGCGCAAATCTGTGCGCCAAAGAGCTGACAGTCGTTTTGAAATGCATGGTATCTTCGTGCAGAATCTGCTCTAGGTATCAGATGAACATCGAGCATATCTGAGTAGGCACTGGTTCGTGGACACAGACTGGGAATATTCGCTTACTTTAGTGAGTACTATACATTTACACTTAACTAATTTTAACAACATGTCTAAAGAATATATTATGGGTTTTATATGATTCTCAGTATAAGCTACTACAATTTCCCTAAATATTATTAAACGGACTGTTTCGTAATTGAGAAATATTTTGTAGCCGTGAAGTAGGACCTAAATTTTTAATTCTCGTTCGATCAATAGAAAATCAAAATTCCTCGGACCTTGTTTACAACATTTCATATACATGAATCAAAGATTGAAATGAACAATCGCTCCTCATGTTGAAAGGGATTAACTTCCTATATATATGTATTTTCATATAGATAATAAATATCCCCTCAATTTTATTTACATTAGTGACCGACGATACAGGAATGCCTGCTTCCAAGTATATTGTGTTTTGATACCCACGGGCCAGTCCATGTAAGTGTGTACCGTGTTCACACATTCCTGCAAGCTGTACTGGCAGATGATGAAGCCTGCTTTATCTCCATAAATAGTGTAATTTCATCATACAGGCACTGCGTAAAATGGAACTTGCAGATATTATCATAGGGAAGTATCCGTACAGGCAGTGCTCTTCATAATGATGTTTAGACTTTATTCAAATATACAATTTGATGTATTTTAGCCTACATTCTTCATTTTCAAAAAATTGAAGGAAGAATTTAAATTCCTCCTGTTGTTTTGTGTCTGTGTCTGTCAAAATAACTTTTTTGCTGCTTGCATGTTGACGTCGTTACATGTTTACTAAGCCGTAGCCTACTTAGGGCCGTCTCTTCTGATTACATGTCCATTGGGATTCAAAATTTGTTAGACGAACAGGTTCATATGTGGTGCGTGATATGTCAGACATATTATTCTATATGTAAGATAAGGTTAAGGTGTCCCTGAGTTAACCGACTCAGCACTACGCCATGAAGGCGTATTGGGGTGTGGATGTATAGATCTACATTTCTTTGAACTAGGCATTACTTGGAGTGACTAGATTCAAGTCTAGGCATCTTCACTCCCGGAGAGAAAACTCTGAAGTATCCATTGTATATGAGGTTGGGTGGACCCCAGAGTCATTCTATACGACACGGAGATGTAAAAATTCTTGACACTACCGAGAAACCTCTCCGTCGTCTAGCCCGTAGCTAGTCGCGACACCTTTTATTTCGCTAGGTAATTCAAAATAACAAAAACTAAAAAGG